AACCCCGTCTCTACTAAAAATACAAAACATTAGCTGGGCATGGTGGCGCGTGCCTGTAATCCCAGCTACTCAGGAGGCTGAGGCAGGAGAATTGCCTGAACCCAGGAGGCGGAGGTTGTGGTGAGCCGAGATCACGCCATTGCACTCCAGCCTGGGTAACATGAGTGAAACTCCGTCTCAAAAAAACAAAAAAAAACAAAAAAAAAACTCTAATTTAGCAAATGACTTTGTGTTCAAGACATTAAATGATAATTAACTTGTCTAGATTAGCTTGTCACTTTCTACCTCAATTCTTTTTAAATTCTTAAAGATAGAAGACACCTGGAACTAGCACACATAATCTAGGCTAATTTTTGGACCCTGTATAGCTTTGATTCCTACACACACATATCCTCAGTCTATCTACAAACTGAGTCTTTTATGTTCCAGATTAACGTTCCTGAGATACAGCTAATAGTGCAGCCTTTTTTTTTTTTCTGTTAAGTGGTACAAACATGACTCACTGAAACCCTGACCTCTTGGATTCAAGTGATCCTCTTACTTTAGCCTCCAGAGTACCTGGGACTACAGACATGGACCACCATGACTGGCTAATTCTTTTTGTGGGGTTTTTTTGGTTTTGGTAGATACGGGGGTCTCCTGATGTTGCCCAGGCTGGTCTGGAACTCCTGGCATCAAACGATCTTCCTGCCTTAGCCTCCCAAAAGGCTAGGATTACATGCGTTAGCCACTGTGCCCAGCCTCTTTTATCAATTTTTGTGGATACTGAGGAAATTAAAACACTTTGTTATACCCTTTTTTTTTTTTTGAGACAGAGTCTCACTCTGTAGCCCAGGCTGGAGTGCAGTGGCACAATTTAGGCTCACTACAACCTCCACCTTCTGGGTCCTGGGTTCAAGCAATTCTCCTGCCTCAGCCTCCCGAGTAGCTGGGATTACAGGAGTATGCCATCATACCCAGCTAATTTTTGTATTTTTAGTAGAGACGGGGTTTCACCATGTTGGCCAGGAGGCTGGTCTTGAACTCCTGACCTCGTGATCCTCCCACCTTGGCCTCCCAAAGTGCTGGGATTACAGCCATGAGCCACCGCGCCTGGCCTGGGTTATACTCTTCTTAAACCACTAGAAGTGCTTTTGCTATGCCTACCTAAAAACCCAAATCCCTAATACAGCAATTACCATTAAAGATAGTTGGGTTTTGTTTGTTTGTTTTTGAAAAAGAGTCTCGCTCTGTCGCCGGGCTGGAGTGCAGTGGCACGACCTCGGCTGACTGCAACCTTCACCTTCCAGGTTCAAGCAATTCTCCTGCCCCAGCCTCCAAAGTAGCTGAGACCACAGGGACCACAGGTGCGCGCCACTATGCCCAGCTAATTTTTGTATTTTTAGTAGAGACGGGGTTTCACCATGTTGGCTAGGATGGTATCAATCTTTTGACCTTGTGATCTGCCTGCTTTGGCCTCCCGAAGTGCTGGGATTACAGCCATGAGCCACCGAGCCTGGCCTGTTTTGTTTTTTTGTTTGTTTTTGTTTGTTCGAGACAGAGTTTTGCTCTTTTTACCCAGGCTGGAGTGCAATGGCATGATCTTGGCTCACTGCAATTCTCCTGCCTCAGACTCCCAAGTAGCTGGGATTACAGTCATGTGCCACCATTTCCCGGCTAATTTTGTATTTTTAGTAGAGACAGGGTTTCTCCATGTTGGTCAGGCAGGTCTTGAACTTCTGACCTCAGGTGATCCACCCACCTCAGCCTCCCAAAGTGCTGGGATTACAGGCGTGAGCCGCCATGCCCAGCCCAAAGATAGTTTTTAAGAATGATGTCCTAGCAGAGGTTGTGCAAGCAAGCAGGCTGCTTTAAAACTGTCAGAGGCCGGGCACAATGGCTCATGCCTTGATATAATTTGGCTCTGTGTCCCCATCCAAATCTCATCTTGAATTGTACTCCCATAATCCCCACATGTTGTGAGAGGGACACAGTGGGAGACAATTGAATCATGGGGGCAGTTTCCCCCATACCTTCTCGTAGTAGTGAATACGTATCATGAGAACTGATGGTTTTATAAGGGATTTAAGCTTTTATGTCCTCCTCATTTCTCTCTTGCCATTGCCATGTAAGAAGTGCCTTTCACCTTCCACCATGATTGTGAGGCATCCCCAGCCACATGGAACTGTGAGTCCAATAAGTCTATTTTTTTCCCAGTCTTGGGTATGTCTTTATCAGCAGTGTAAAAACGAACTAATATATGCCTATAATCCCAGCACTTTGGTAGGCTGAGGTGGGAGGATCCCTCGAGGTCAGGAGTTTGAGACCAGCCTGGCCAACATGATGAAACCCCATTTCTACAAAAATATAAAAATTAGCTGGGTGTGGTAGCAGGCGCCTGTAATCCCAGCCACTCCAGAGGCTGAAGCAAGAGAACTGCTTGAACCTGGGAGGTGGAGGTTGCAGTGAGCTGAGATTGCGCCACTGCACTCCAACCTGGGCAACAAAACAAGACTTCATCTCTAAAACAATAAATAAATAAAATTTAAAAAAAGAAAACTGTTGGGGCATTAGCCACATGAACAGCTGTCCAAAGACCAGGATCTCTGTTTTTTGTTGTTTTTGTTTTTCTAGTTTTATTGGTTTTATTTAAACCCCAATAAAACAAGAACATTCAGTGTCTATTTACTTTCTGCACTGTGCAGGCTGGCACTGGCATTGGTGCCTCTGATGACCACCTGGGCTGCTCTTTCCAAGACGGCTTTGCAGGGAACATCATGAGTGATCTCAGCACAGTTAAGATTTGCTGCACACCAGCAGTACTTCCAGCTCCTTATTGCTGTGGACCAGGAACTTCCGGAAGCCACTGGGCAGTATGTGCGTTGTCTTTTTGTTCCTCCCACAATCAATGTTGGGCATTGATCGGGCCCTTCAACCTTCTATGAACCCTGCTGGCAACACCTCTGTGTTTCCACCAGTTACACTTAATTTTGACATGTCAGTCTGACTGGTGCCCCGTGAACTTTTTGGGCCTCTTTTTGACGACCTTGGGCTTCAGGAGGGGTCTGAGGGTGGCCATGATGGAGGAGTTGGCCATTTCGGAGGTGGCTGCCACCTCCATAGGCAGCACGAAGGAGGAGAGCTCAGGTCTGTCTGTAATGGTGAAAGAAGTCCCATAAAAAGTGAAGAAGCAATGATGCCCAACAAATTCAATAAATTTTTACTACGTGGCTGCCCTGTGAAACATGGTATGTCACTGTCAGGATCTAGAATGAGTGGAATTAATTTGGAGAACAAAGATCACTCTAAAGCATGTCTTAGAGAAACAGTTGAAATAATCAGAGATGGTTATACTGGAAATAAGAATATTCTAGAAAAACATGAGAGCCTTCATGCCTAAATATTTAGCCCCCACAACCTTTTTTTTTTTTTTTTTTTTTTTTTTTTTTCTATATTTTTTTTTTTTTTTTTTTTTTTTTTGTTTTTTTTTTTTTTTTTTTTTTTTTTTTTTTTTTTTGGCAGAGATTAGGCTTATTTTGTACAGGACAACATAGAATTAGTACCAATGAGTATCAGTCAAAATCAGTAGAAATCATAGCAACCTAAGAAAAAACTTACTATCAAAGCAATCTAAAAATAGAATGACCTGTTTTAGGAGGAGCAGAAGCCTCACTAGCAGTATTGGTACCAGGGACATTATATACTGCAGTCTCTGGATACTCAATCTCTAAATGAGTCTTAATCAGACACTGCTACAAATCAAATCACAAATCACATCACCCAAAGTCAAACACTGCTAATATAATGACATGTTTCCTTCTGATTTCTTTTCCCTGTGCACTTCTTTTTTAACATAGTAAAATTGTAGCACATATTACAATTTTTAACTTTTTATTAAAAATTCTTTCAGCAATTTTGTTGACTACCAATATTTACCAAAGCTTTCACTTTTGTTTTTTACATTTTGGGGAGTTTTTTTTGAGACAGGGTCTCACTCTGTCTCCCAGGCTGGAGTGTAGTGGCATGATCTCAACTCACTGAAACTTCTGCTTCCCAGGTTCAAGTGATTCTCGTGCCTCAGCCTCCCAAGTAGCTGGGATTACAGGCACATGCCACCACACTCAATTTTTGTATTTTTAACAGAAACAGGGTTTTATCATGTTGACCAGGCTGGTCTCGAGCTCCTGGCCTCATGATCTACCCACCTTGGCCTTCCAAAATGCTGGGATTACAGGGGTGAGCCACCACACCCAGCCAGCTTTCACTTTTTGTTTAACATTTACAGTTTAGTGGTAAGAGCAGTTTTCAAGACATACTACCTGGTTGAATCTCACTTACTAGCTATTCAATCTTGGAACAGTTGCTCATTCGTTGTGCCCCAGTCACCTCATTTGTAAAATGGGGACTGTACCTCAGGGAGTTGTTGTATTAAAGGAGATTCTATAGGGAAAATGTTTGTGTCCCCCATAAAATCCACATGTTGAAACCCTAGCTTGTGCGTTCTAGGAGGTGGGATATTTCAGAAAAAGATTAGGTCATAAGAGGTCAACCCTCATGGGATTAGTGCTCTTATAAAATAAGGCCAAGAAAGCTCATTTGCCCCAACCACCATGTAAGAATACAATGAGAAGGCACCTACCAGCACCTTGATCTTGGACTTCCCAGCGTCCAAAACTGTGAGAAATAAATGTGTTATTTAAGCCTCTCAGACTACTGGATTTTGTTGCAGTGGCCCAAAAACACTAAGACAGAACCTAAACCTACGAATATGTCCTCTGCCAGAGTGGTGGCTCACATGTGTAGGCCCAGCTCTCTGGGAGGCCAGGACAGGAGGCTCACTAGAGGCCAGCAGTTTAAGACCAACCTGGGCAACACTGCAAGACCCTGTCCCTACAATAAATTTTTAAAAAAGAAAGAATATATCCTCTATGTACCAGTGGTTCTTTGGGCCTCTCCTATAGTCCCTATCATCTTTTGCCGTCCATACTTATTGAACTTTTACTAGGTAATTTAGTTAAATTCCCCAACAAATGTGGACCTACTAATCTACAAGGCATCTTGCTATGTGCTTGCTGTGCATGCAAATATGAAAGGAAACATTCACTCCTGCCCTCAAGCAACTAAGTGATCTTTGGGGATAAGGGATGCACAGTCCTAGGCTGGGCGTGGTGGCTCATGCCTGTAATCTCAGCACTTTGGGAGGCGGAGACAGGTGGATCACCTGAGGTCAGGAGTTCAAGACCAGCCTGGCCAACATGGTGAAACCCTGTCTTTTTTTTTTTTAAAAAAAAAAAAAAAAAAAAAAAAAAAAAAAAAAAAAAAAAGAGCATAAGCACTGATGTCAGACAGACCCAGTTCCACTCGTTTTGTCTCTTTCTTTGGGATACCTTGGGGAAATTACTTAATTTCTAGGCCTCAGTTTCCTCAGCTATGTAATGATAGTATCTACTAAAAAGTACTCTAAGACTTGAAAAAGGTAATGTACATAAAGCACTTAGCATGTCTGGCACATAACAAATCTTAAAACAAAATATCAAGTAAGCATTATTCAACCCCTAATAGAGAAGCCAGACCACTTACCCACAGCAGCCTTCCCACTCACTACCACCATGTATACACAGGGATAGGACTGGCTAGGGAGTGTTTCCCTTCCATTACCTAAGACATTGCACATCTCTTACAGAATTTACACCAGGCCATCACACTAGACCAGAGCCCAGCTCATTCAAGAGACTCTTACAACCAAATCAAACACATCTCACACCCTTATTGACCTGACTCACCACTACATATGTAAGCTTCTCTCATCATCTCCCAAATTTTTTTTTTTTTTTTTTTTTTTTGAGTCGTAGTTTCGCTCTAGTTGCCCAGGCTGGAGTGCGATGGTGCGATCTCGGCTCACCATAACCTCTGCCTCCCAGGTTCAAGCAATTTTCCTGCTTCAGCCTCCTTAGTAGCTGTGATTACAGGCATGAGCCACCATGCCTGGCCTTCCCAAACTTTTTTTTGCAGTTGCTTAGGTGACACAGCTTCTCATCCATCCTATCTGCAATACCAGCTCATCCCATTACCAATAAATCTTTTCTACGCCTTCAACCACATCTCTCAGTATTCTTCTCACCTCCTTACCCAGACTGAAACCTGGCTCTTTCCTAGACACTTCCCCAACACTGACTGTAATTTATCATCACATACTCCTGGGGTTCAGGGTTAGGAGCATAGGTGGATTTACTATGAAGCTTATGAAACTTAAGCTCCAGTATCCCTAACTTCTACAAGCTCCTACTAAGGGAATTATATTAGGAATGTGTTCAATATTGTATTTTCAAAAAATTGGCTGCCAGGAGCAGTGGCTCACGCCTGTAATCCTAGCACTTTGGGAGGCTGAGGCAGTTGGATCACCTGAGGTCGGGAGTTCGAGAGCAGCATGGCCAACATGGTAAAACCCCACCTCTACTAAAAATACAAAAAATTAGCCAGGGATGGTGGCAGACGCCTGTAATCCCAGCTACCCGGCAGGCTGAGGCAGGAGAATCACTTGTACCAGGGAGGCAGAGGTTGCAGTGAGCCAAGATTGTTCCACTGCATTCCAGCCTGGGCAACAGAGCAAGACTCAGTCTCAGAATAAATTAAAAAAAAAAAAAAAATCAGACCAAGCCGGACAGCACAGTACTGTAATACCCCGCCTCTACAAAAACAATGAATGCTCATCTCACAATATCTAACTATAACCTAAAAGGGTAATACAGACCCTGGCCAACTTTCTTACTCTTCAGCCACAACTTTGCTATTTCTCTAATTCCATCCAGGAATTCTCTTCCCCACAGAAACTATGCTGTAACCTCTGCCTATTAAGTTCATAACCCAAATGTAAGCATGGCTTTCTTTGACCTCAACATCTAGAACATATACCTCTTTTACCCTGCTTTTCTTCAAATAATGCACATTATCATATATTGCTGCTCTAACAGCGTATACATTCAATTGAGAACTTTTCATTCACTACAAAATTCAGTGTCTGGCATACAGGAATTCAAGGATTTGTACAATTGTTGTCCACAAGTGGTAGAACTGTACTTCTCACACTTGGATCACACAGGGGGTCTTGCTCATAGACCAATCAGGAGGCACAGGGTATACTCCAACAGGGCATTTTTAATAGGCTTCCAGATGATAAGTCCCAAGAACTTTCACCTACTTTCATTTATTCCATCTCACGTTAAGTCACCTGCATTACCAAGGTTAAAGCAACCACATTACACCTAGACTTCACCTTTTACTGGGTCCCTCAGTAAATGTCTTTGAGTACCATCATTTCTTTTACAACCGGCACAACCCCTCCAAATGCTCCAAACTGACTGCTTTTCTCTACAAATATGCACATGCACACATTGGCAGACTTGAGACCCTGTATCTATTCAAAAGTGTGTACAAAGACACACAAAGTTCTTTAAAATTTTCTTTATTCTATAGAGACAAGGTCTCACTATGTTGCCCAAGTTGGTCTGGGCTCAAGCAAGCCTCCCACTCTATGCTCCCGAAGTGCTGGGATTACAGGCATGAAACTGCCACGTGTTTTTCAAAGTATAAAAATAAAACTGGCATTTACCAGTGTACTGGCACGAATAGTTTTATGTAACTCAGTGAAAATAAGCCATTGAAACAAGTCTATTGAGAAGGTAATATTAATTTTTAAAATATTTCTATAACCAATTAACTATTCCAGTCATATTAAAACACTCATAAACCAAAGGGTTTTTAAAAATGTTTATTTTATGTACAAAGAACTATCATGGTTTTTCATGGTGGGTGTCTTGGATAATCCTTTGAAGATCATTTAGTCCAACTGAAAAAAAAAGCAGGTAAGAAATTATTTCAAAATGCTTTAAATCTCTACTTGATTTTCACAAGAACTGGCTCATTATACAATGTTTAAATGGACATTTAACCCACCCAAACTAACTACACCAGGATCTACATAGTTTAAATATTTACTGAATGCGTACTCCACAAACATCAGCTATGTTATAGAATGATTTTTAGTAATGCTATTCCCGCTTCTTCCCTCGAAATGTTTCCCATAACACTACTAAATCTTTATGAAATGCATGGGTTGGTTGTTCAGCAGGAAACTATAATTACACAGTTCATTTTTGTTTTTTAAGACAGCCTCGCTGTCTCCCAGACTGGAGTGCAGTGGAGCCATCTCCACTCACTGCAGCCTCGGCCTCCTGGGTTCAAGTGATCCCCCACCTCAGCCTTCTGAGTAGCTGGGACCACAGGCCCAGGCAATCATACAAAGGTAATTTTTGTAGACACGGCTTTTCACCATGTTGGCCAGGCTTGTCGCTTAAATCCTGGACTCAAGCGATCCACCCGCCTTGTCGGCCTCCCAAAGTGCTGGGATTTCAGATTTAAGGCACTGCGCCTGGCCCACAGTTTATCTAGGACACAGAGCTAGGGCGTGGGCCAAGGTCCATTTTCTTCGGTGTGATATACTACCTCCCAAATGAATAATGTGAACCTCCTCATTTTAACAGGAAGCATACACTGACAAAGTACTTGCTCAACGCTACCAAGTCTGAGTTTACAGGTACTTTCTGTCCCGGTTACACTGCATAATTCCTATTAACAATTTGCAACAGGCAGGGCGTGGTGGCTCACATCTGTAATCCCAGCACTTTGAGAGGCCAAGGCAGGCGGATCACCTGAGGTCAGGAGTACAAGACCAGCCTGGCCGACATGGTGAAACCCATCTCCACAAAAAAATAAAAGGTCGCGCGTGGTGGCAGATGCCTGTAATCCCAGCTACTCGGGAGGCTGAGGCAGGAGAATCGCTTGAATTCGGGACGTGGAGGTTGTAGGGAGCTGAGACCGCGCCACTGCACTCCAGCCTGGGCAACACAGTGAGATCCCGTTTCAAAAAAAAATTACATCATTACAGAACACGACCATAAAAATATCTATATTTAACAAGTAGGTACTATTCAATACAAAACAATTAAGAATTAGAAAGCTGGTGAGTTTATCTCAAAAGCCAATTATAAATTCGTTTTTCACCTAAAAAAATAAACTATTTACATGATTTTTAGAAGCCAAAAGTCTCATATACACATTCACTTGATCAAGTGATAGAACCACTAAATGGCAGATCCTCGTTTGCTGAATCCTAACAATGTCTTTCTGGCTCCAAACCTCAAGTTCATTCCAGTATATGACGTTATCAAACATTTTTCGGTCAGTGGTTAATACATACATTTGGTTAGAAAATATCTAGGTATTGCTGCGCGTGGTGGCTCGCGCCTATAATCCCAGCTACGTCAGACGCTGTGGCAGGAGAACTGCTTGAACCCACTGTGGGTTCAAGGGGCTGCAGTGAGTCATAACTTGAATACCACTGCGCTCCAGCCTGGGTCTCACTCTGTCTTACAGGTACTTTTAAGACCGGTAAGTAAAACAATTTTAGTGGCTTCTGTAAAGTGAGTAATTTCACCCAACACAATACATGGCACCTAAAACTGGCTAAGTAAAAAGGGGGTAGGAAAGACTAAGTCCTTCACCTCCCCATTCCATTAATGTGACTGCCCAAACCATCAACACTGTCACCAGCTACCAACTATAAAAGAGGAAAAGCTCTGGGTCGAATGCTCAGAATCACCACCCGAGGGAAGATCTGTCGGTTGTCTTCCGCAGAAAAAATAAAGAACCACCACCACCTTCTCCCTCAACGGAAACAACAGGTAGTACGCCCGCGGACGCCTACCTTAATGAAACCTATATCCTTCGCGTACTGACGAAAACACTGGCGGCACATATTGAGACCATATTTCCGGATCAAACCGTGCCGGTTTGAACAGACTCGACTGTAAAAAAAAAAAAGAGACAGCAATTTTGCAGGTCACAGAAATTACAAGACTCTGCACTCAGACGGCCACTACCCGCTTCCCGAGACTTCCCGGCCCCAGCGCAGGCCTGTAATGGCGGCACCATCGGCTCCCAGTCGGCCTGCTCCCTAGTGCCGCCTGTGGTCTCCTCTACTTGAGATTTTGAGCAGCTCAGCGATCTAGGGCAACGTTTCCCTAAAATCACAGACTATTTCTCACCAAGAGCGAGAACCCTGGCCGAATTTTCGCGGGTGGCTCCAGTACAGCTGCTGGTGACCCATCTTGCTCTCAGAAAGGCAACGAGGTAAAAGGAAGGAGCTACTCTACGCATGCGCTCTTCAATTTTTTTTTTGAGACAGTTTACCCAGAATGCAGTGCTCAAAGAAAACGCGTGCGCAGTGTGGTCAGGTTGTTTCGTGAGGTGAAATCTTGGAGGCGTTGTCGGCCGGCCCAGTTGATGACGTCACTACCACACAGCTTCTAGTGCTATTTTGCGCCGCTACCAGACCGCCGGGCGCGGTGGCGCGTGTCTGTAGTCCCAGCTATTCGGGAGGCTGAGGCTGGAGGATCTCTTGAGTCCAGGAGTTCTGGGCTGTAGTGCGCTATGCCGATCGGGTGTCCGCACTAAGTTCGGCATCAATATGGTGACCTCCCGGGAGCGGGGGACCACCAGGTTGCCTAAGGAGGGGTGAACCGGCCCAGGTCGGAAACGGAGCAGGTCAAAACTCCCGTGCTGATCAGTAGTGGGATCGCGCCTGTGAATAGCCACTGCACTCCAGCCTGGGCAACATAGCGAGACCCTGTCTCTTTTGAATAAATACGTTAATTTTGAACTCTCAAGAAATGAATGTTCTCAGTCTCTTTTATTGATTAAACCTTTTACTTTCTTTTAATTAAAACGTTACACTTGGGAAGGGATTTTTCTCATCGACTCACCAGTGACACCTACTGGAATAAATGTACAAAACAACTTAAAATCAGCTGTAATAATCACGAGTCAACGGTAGGGTTTGCTTTTATTCTGTTAAATAGAGTAAGGTTTTCAAATTTATTTTTGTGACACACTCTTCCAAGAAATACACCTACACCATTCCAGAAAAAAATATATATATTCTTTGGCATTTAGTGTATTTAATTCTTAAATGTAATTGGCTGAATTTAAAGTAATAAACAAGTAATGTGCAGTGTATGTTGCTTTGACCAGATAATTTGGTGACAACTAATGAAAAGCAAATGCAAAAAAACAAATGTCAATAAACGAATTTCTGCTCAAAGATGCCTAAATTCCATATGGTCATTTGTAATGCCTCCAGATAAAACTGCTCTGAAATCAAAGCTTTAACTAGATTTATAAAATGTAGCACATGGTGCAACAATTCAAGAAACTTTTACATATAAACTCTTAATTGAAATACACAACTTCTTTAAGGTATATTATGCCAGGGTTCCAGTGGGGTCCCCCAACCCAATCATTAAGTTAGGCATTGCATTATATGATTAAGGAAGGAGGGGAGTCAGAGACTTATAAACTAGATATAGGGTTTCTGTGTCTCAGCTTTGGAGCACCCCTCTCTCTGTCTCTGTACAGGAGAGCTGCTTCTTTCTTTCTTCCCCCTTCTTTCTTGCCTATTAAACTCCTTGCTCCTTAAAACTAAAAAATAAATACAAATAATAAATAAATAAACTGGATGTAACTTGTTTCTTGCCCTCAAAATTTTCTAATCTAATCTACTGTGAAAAACAGGATTATCTCCAAGACCTCGTCCTTCAACGTTTGTACACCAACATGTGTACAACTAAGGAAAATATTCTGTGTTCAATGATGGGTGTGCTCATGAAGTATGAGAGGACCAAAGAAGAGGAGAAATTAATTCCAGCTTGAGGTACACATGAGAGACTTCTGAGGTAGCACTTGATAGAGCAGAATGCCTGGTGGAAGGAAGAGCTTGAGCCAAGAGTTTGGGTAAGGTGAACAACTTTGTGTAACTAGAGTAGAAGATGCACAAAAGGCCTAGTGATAGGAATGAAGCGGTATTTTATTTTAAAGCCTCATTGGGCAAGACCCAATGTCAAGCTTCTACAATTTTCCTATAATTTATATCAGTCACTAATGTGTGGTTTCCAAAAGCCATCTGCCTCTCAAAACCTAATCTAACATTTGTCCACAATTTCTCAAGCCTCTCCTTGTTGGTCTCCATAATATTTAAAAGATTACAGTGGTTCTGAGATCAACTACATAAATATTTTTAGTACCCTGATATATAATCCTTTGGGCCTAAAAAGTATATTCATTTAGGAGAGAGGAAAAAAAAAGACAAATGAGAAGCAATTAGTTGCACTTTGTTCAATCTTTTTCTCGGCTGACTGCAAACTCCATCTCCTGGGTTCAAGTAATTCTCCTGCCTCAGCCTCCCAAGCAGCTGGGATTACAGGGATGCACCACCACGTCAGGTTAATTTTGTATTTTTAGTAGAGACATGGTTTCTCCCTGTTGGTCAGGCTGGTCTCCAACTCCTGACATCAGGTGATCCACCTGCCTGGGCCTCCCAAAGTACTGGGATTACAGGTGTGAGCCACAGCACCTAGCCCAACAATCTTAAACTATCTGAATACTTAAGTAATGCTTAATGTCTATTCTAGTCTATAGATTATTCTTCTTGATAGAGATATCGCAAAAGTACATACTTCCTTTCAGTGTTAAGATAATGTGACACCATCTATCCCAAACAATGGAATTATCCATTTCTTTTTCAATAAACTGAGAACACAGCTTTGAAAGTTCATTTTAACTCACTGTTTATCAAGAGATTTTATGGGTTTTTTTCTTTTCTTTTTTTGCAATGGAGTCTTGCTCTGTTGCTCAGGCTGGAGTGCAGTGGCACCACGTTGACTCACTGCAACCTCCACCTCCTGAGTTCAAAGGATTCTCCTGCCTCAGCCTCCCGAATTGCTGGGATTGCAGGCACATGCCATCACACCTGGCGAATTTTTTATATATTTGGTAGAGACAGGGTTTCACCATGTTGGCTAGGCTGGTCTCAAACTCCTGACCCCAAGTGATCTGCCCACATCAGCCTCTCAAACTGCTGGGATTACAGGCATGAACCACCACACCTGGTCTAAGAGATTTTATCTTAATCCTGTAGTCTTCTTACAGTTTCTTAATTCTCTTTTGTATGTGACTTTGAAATTTTCCTTCTTTTAGAACACATTTTCCCCTAATAGGATATTTCTTGGGTTTAGATTCTTTCTTTTTTAAAAAATGTACAATGAAGTACAAAGAAAAAGAAAAAGAAAAAACTGCCATAATGTCCTTGCCCAGATAACCCTACGAATATTTTACTTTTGAAAAAATAAAAGATTGGAGCATTCTAACACTAAAGAGTATAGATCTTATTTTTTAAGTACATTGGAATAATATTCATGTTAAGACACTATTATTCAAGATGTCTTTCTTTCTCAAATTATTCTTACAATCATCTGTGATCATCCATGCAGAATTTAATCATTTTAAAACCTGCATCTGCTGGGCGAGGTGGCTCACTCCTGTAATCCCAGCACTTTGGGAGGCCAAGGCGGGTGGATCACAAGGTCAGGAGATTGAGGCCATCCTGGCTAACACCGTGAAACCCCGTCTCTACTAAAAATACAAAAAATTAGTCAGGCATGGTGGCACTTGCCTGTAGTCCCAGCTACTCAGGAGGCTGAGGCAAGAGAATCACTTGAACCCAGGAGGTCAAGGTTGCAGTGAGCCAAGATTGCACCACTGCATTCCAGCCTGGGTGACAGAGCAACACTCTGTCTTAAAAAAAAAAAACAAAAAAAAACAAAAAAAAAAACAACCTGCATCTTATGTGTATACACTGCTGATAGGAATGTAAATTAGTTCAGCACTGTGGAAAGCAGTTCGGGGATTTCTTAGATAACTTAAAACAGACTGCCACTTGACCTAGCAATCCCATTACTGGATCTATACCCAAAAGAATATAAATCATTCTACATTAAAGACACATGAATGTGTATGTTCACAGCAGCACTTCACAATAGCAAAGACATTGAATCAACCTAAATAGCAATTTTTTAGGCAACAGTAAACTACATAAAGAAAATGTGGTATATATACACTATGGAATGCTACACAGCCGTAGAAAAGAACAAGATCATGTCCTGTGCAACAACATGGATGGAGCTGGAGGCAATTACCCTAAGCAAACTAACATGGGAACAGAAACCAAACACCATGTTCTCACTTATAAGTGAGAGCTAAACACTGAATACACATGGACACAAAGAAAGTAACAGACAGCAGGGTCCACTTGAGCACAGAGGGTGGGAGGATGGTGAGTATTGTTAAAGTACCTATTGAGTACTTAAGCTTATTACCTGGGTGATTAAATAATACATGTAACAAACCCCTGTGACACACAATTTATCTGCAGAACCAACCTGTACATATACCCTTGAAATTAAAGTTAAAAAAAAAAAAAAAAACTTTTATCTCTCTTGAGTTACCTTCAATTTCAGAACCTTTAGAAATAGAATTATACTTTTACTCTAAACTTTACAAAATCTATTTCACCATAGTCAGAGTCTAAGATACATGTTTTGCATGTTTGGTTATTAAAATATGCACACTTCAGTATAGTTGGTTCGAATTAGGTTTTTTGTTTGTTTGTTTGTTTGTTTGTTTTGAGACATAGTCTCACTCTGTAACCCAGGCTGGAGTGCAGTGACGCCATCTTGGTTCACTGCAACCCCCACCTCCAGGGCTTAAGCAATTCTCCTGCCTCAGTCTCCCAGGTAGCTGTGATTACAGGCATGAGCCACCATTCCTAGCTAATTTTTATATTTTTAGTACAGATCGGGTTTTGCCTTGTTGACCAGGCTGGTCTCAAACTCCTGGCCTCAAGAAATCTTCCCGCCTCAGTCTCCCAAAGTGCTGGTGTCATCTGCCCTGCCCAACCAGAATTAGACCTTTATTAATAATTATTAACCCTTCAAAAAAGCCTAATTGTTTAATAGTATGTGTTTGTCCACATATATTTTAGCAAATATTAATTTTTAATTAACTTTACATATTATGTTTTAAATAAAACATACTTTGGAAAAGGAGACTCAGAAAAAGAAAAAAAATACATACGTGCATACATGCAAATATTAAATATATTGTTAAAAGTAAGTCTTTCTCCAACCCTAGACCCCTATTTTCCCAGTCTCCCTGTCCAAACCAACAAGTTAGCAGTTTTTAGGGGTTTGGTTTTTGCTTTTTTTTTTTTGAAACAGAGTCTCACTCTGTTGCCCAGGCTGGAGTGCAATGGCGCGATCTGGACTCACCGCAACCTCTGCCTCCC